AAGAGTACAATTGATCAGCAAATTTCCTCAAACAAGATCACTGTATTTATTAGAACTGACTGAGCCTTGAAATAACTAAATAGTGGTGATATTTTTAGTTGTGTTTTTCCTATTTATTTTTGTTGATTGTTTTTGACTATGATCTGAAATTAAAATCTTTCAAAGTTAGTGATACATTTTATATTTAGAAACTTGTAAACCAGAATACTTCACTAAATGTGAGGTTATAATGTTTCCTTTCTTCAACAACACTGGAATAAGTAATGACTGAAATGAGAAATACCTTGTGTCCAGAATTTTATGGGAAAGGCTATGTCTAGCCACTATTTTCATTGTTTTTCTTGATATACACAAACACACACCATGCTTTGGTCATTACCAATGGAAAACTAGCCAATAAATCTTGGCCTGGATCAATATAATTGTTGAGGGTTTTAAGTAATATAAAGGTAATAATTTCCAGGCATCTGTTTTGTTTACTAAAAGTAGTATGTACATTGGCACTTAGAAACTGGCAGCAGTATTGTTTTAGTGATCTGTCTGCAAATGGATCTCATCCATTTTTATTGGACAAGCTCACTGAACTCAATGGTGATTCCCAAGTAAAAATAAACATGATTTCAAATTTAATATTTTTTTTATTAAAAAGTGAAAAAAAATAGGTTTACCTTAGCAATAGGAATTATTTTGTGGACAGATAAACTCACTTTTCATTAGATTCATTTGATAATGATTGGAATTTTTATCATATTGTCATAGTGTCTGCTGTGTAAAAATATAAACATGAGAACACTCATATAAAAAAGTAATTCACATATACAATACCGTTCTTTATTTCCCCCCATTCATTCATTCAACTTACATGGCTGCCCAACTCATAATTGCAACTCTGGACAGTTAACATGAGATTAAAACACTAATATAAAACAAGGCCAAATAAGGGGCCTGGTAGCTCAGCAGACTAAAAGCATTGTGATTAACACCAGCTATCTGTAATTACTGTAAGTTCGAATCTCACCAGGCTCAAGGTTGACTCAGCCTTCCATCCTTTCTAAGGTAGGTTAAATGAGGACCCAGTTTGTGGGGGCAATAAGCTGACTTTGTATAAATATACAAAAGTATGAAGGCTATTGCTTAACGCATTGTAAGCCCTGAGTCTCCGGAAAAGGGCGGCATATAAATCGAACCAATAAAACAATAAATAAATAAATACTGTAACTACCGTGTTTCCCCAAAAATAAGGCAGGGTCTTGTTTTCTTTTGACCCCCAAAATATGGCCTTGGCTTTATTATCGGGGGTCTTATTTTTGAGGTGCATGTTTAGGAGGCCCCTAAATTAACACAGCTGCCTGCAATTTACTGCTGGTTCGAATCTCTCCAAGGCTCAAGGTTGACTCAGCCTTCCATCCTTTCTAAGGTAGGTTAAATAAGGACCCAGTTTGTGGGGGCAATAAGCTGACTTTGTATAAATATACAAAAGTATGAAGGCTATTGCTTAACGCACTGTAAGCCGCCCTGAGTCTCCGGAGAAGGGCGGCATATAAATCAAATTAAAAAAAAAAAAAAAAAACCTTGGCCCATGGCAGGGGGACTGGTGCTGGAGCACCGACCAGCTGCTTTGCCGGTACCGCTCAGGCCGCTGCCTACAGCAATCGTGGCAGCTTTTTCATTGCTTCCTGTGCAAATAGCATAAGGTGAGGTGGAGGGGTGAACCCCACATGCACCTGCCATCCATGCGCAACGGCCTCATGGAGGCTGCTCCCACAAACCCTAGCTCATGCGCCCCTTCTCTTAGTGGCAGCTGCAAAAAAACTCTTGCCAGCCTTAGCCCTGTTGACCTGGGACTAGGGGAGGACTGGCACCGGAGCTACGAGCAGTGGCCAGTGCGGGCTGTCTGCGCAGCCATGAAGCAGGATCAGCGTGGCCGGTTCTTGCCCACAGCATTGCAGGCGAGGATTGGGTCAGAGCCGCTGTCGCCCGAGATCAGGCCAGATTCGGTGAGCCGGATGCACCGCTGCCACTCGAGAAAAGAAACGAGAGAGGAGGCGCTACGAGAGAGTCCATTTCTCACATTCTTTTCCCAAGCAGTGGCAGCGCGTTCAGCTCCCTGAATCTGGCTTGCCGATCTCGGTCGGTGAGGAGGGGTGGGGCGGCGGAGAAGCAAGACGCATGAAGCGAGACGGGGCTCCCCTTGCCGTCTCTTCCCACCCCCACCCCCCTTGCTGGGCATGGCAGGAGCTGGAAGTCAGGTAAGACCCGGTCGAGAAGCGAGACACGTGTCTTACCTGACTTCCAACTCCTGCCATGCCCAGCAGCATGTTGAATTAGACCTGCAGCTCATGAAAAAGTGGTGTTACATGCATTGGTTGTGTAAATATAGCTACCCACAGTGCTGCATTCTGAATCAATTGTTGTTACTGGCAGCCCCACTAGTGCACTGCCAAGGGGACCCCCGAAGCATCACTTCAGTCTAGCTTTTTGTGTGTTGTAACAGAAATCCATAAAACATAAGCTTGAGGAACACTACGACCAGCACCGCCATTGAGTTGATTGAGTAAGGACACTGCTACCCAGATTTCATAGTGGTAATTCCATCTATTTCCTAGTGCCCAATCCAATTGGTAGATCCTACATCTGAATACATGCAGGGTAGTGCCTTTAAAGCCACAAGATACTCTGTGATGATAAAATATCCTAAAAGGAAATTCAAAAATTGCTAAAAGATAGACCAAAAGTTATAAAGTGTATTCCTATAATAAAGAGGAATAAAAGATAAAGATGAAAAATATATAAAGTGTATAAAACAGGGGTGTCCACTCTTGGCAATGTTAAAGACCTGTGGACTTCAACTCTCATAATTTTGGGAGCTGAGGTCTACAAATCTTAAAATTGCCAAGGTTGGACACTCCTGCCTTAAGGTATATCAGATTCATGCCCTGATCTCTTTTCATGTTCTGCCATCACTGAGCTGGCAGGAGAGGTCATATGTCAGTTTGGAATCTGATATCATCAGTACGCCACTGATACTAATTCATATTTCAATTCTGGACTGTGCAGGTGAAGCTATCAATGTGCTTACTTAATGTGTAGAGGTTGTTCAGGTCCAGATGGGGCAGAACAGATTTCAGCTCAGGTACTGACCAGACTGAATGGATGTAGCTGTTTGCCTGATCTCCAAACCTGATTATATTTCTATAGTTGGCTTTGGATGGGGTAGCAGTTCTCTATTCTAGACTGGTGAACAACTTGGGGGTCCTTCTGTACTCATAGTTCCTTCTCAAAAAACAAGTGGCAGTTGTGGGGAGCAGGGTCTGTCCACAGGTTCATCTTCTGCAGTTTTTTCTCTAACCGGGAAGCTGTTCAGATACTCATGCCCTGAACACCTATGACTTGATTATTGTAATGCATTCTAAATTAAAATGCCCTTGAATACCATGCAAAAATTACATCTGGTATAAAATTTATTTATTATCAAACAAATATATATAACCACTCAACTCTCAGAGTGACTCTAGGTGGTGTACAATATTTAAAGTTCATAGTTTAAACATTCATAATTTAACTCCCCAACCCCCACCCATTCTGCAATGCAGTTGCATGCACAGTATATTGAGTGCCTCATAGTACACCCATATGCAACCACTAATGCAGGAGCTGTATTGGTTGGCAATTGGCTTCCAGGTGCAATTCAAAGTGCTAGTCGTTACCTATAAAGAATTTTACGGTATAGATCCTGGTTATCTGACGGACCACCTGCCTCCAACTGTTGCTGCCCACCAGATACAGGTAGTCCTTGACTTACAATAGTTTGCTTAGTGACCGTTCAAAGTTACAATGGCATTGAAAAAAGTGACTTATTACCATTTTTCAGTTACATTTCCAGCATCCCCATGATCATGTGATCAAAATTCAGATGCTTGGCAACTGGTTCATATTTATGACTGTTGCTGTGTCCCAGGATCACTTAACAACCAGGTTACTAACTTATCAACTGCAGTGATTCACTTAACAAGTGAGACAATGTTGTAAAACGGGGAAAAATCACTTAACAAATGTCTCAAGAACAGAAATTTTGGGCTCAATTTGGCCATAAATTGTACATTAGGGCACAGTGAGTGTCCACAAGACCCTCTCAACTAAATATTACTATTTGGCAGGATCGAGAAAGCCTGTCTTCTCTGTCTCGGCTCCTGCCCTCTGGCACAGCTTACCTCAGAGATATGGATGGTGCCCTCCTGGACTTCTGACCTGGTTTTGGTTTCAGATCTGGGGTTGATGTGTTTGTGGTTTGCTTTATTTGAATCTAGGTTGCTTGCGAGATGGTATGTTTTTAACTGCTTTTATTGTTTTGTATGCTGCCCAGAGTCTATGGGAATGGGCAGCTCCAATAAATTCCCTAAATTGATGCTATGCTACAAACAAGAGCGATATTAAGTCAGCTTGCAGGAGGTTTCTATGGAAAAGTATTATTATTATTATTGTTGTTGTCTTTTATTTATTAAACATGAAACTCAATCAACTGAACATTTAAAAATGTACCACAAATATCATTGGCTGGCACTGATAGTTGATACAGGTTGCTGCCAGCATCCTAGTTATCAACCAAGTATCTTCTTAAAACGTATGATGTTCTGAGTAGCAGTTTTTTACAGTTCCGTTGGTGTTATTGCAGGAAGCTGCAATTTCTTGATGTGTTTTGTAAAATTCTTGGACATGGTACCAAGTGCCCAGATGACAATGGGTGGTGGTGGTGGTGGTGGTGGTATTATTATTATTATTATTATTATTATTATTATTATTATTATTATTATTTTAAGTCAATGGTATTTGTGATGCGTTTTTGAATGTTCAGTTGAGCGAGTTTCATGTTTAATGAATAAAGTAAATAATAATTTTCAGCGATGCATTTTATGTGAAGCCACGAAATAAAAAAGCGATACATTAGAACGGCGCTACACGTTTCCCAGCAGCAAACTTCTCAATAGCTTGAAGTCATTTACCTCCAGTGCTGCTGCCATCTCCTCCCACAGCGCCACTGGCATCGCAGGACCATTAGGCACATCGAGCAACCTGGCCGGCAAGGTGAGCAGCGCAAGACTTCAGCTGCCAGGCGTGACCATCCGATGAACTTGGAAGTATTTCGATCCTTTAGTTTTCTCAACTTCGTTTGTTATCTCCTAGATGTGGATTTGGGAACCAAGCAAGCCTTTCTTCGCCCTTCTTTCTTACTCGCCCCGCCAGCCACCCATCCATCGCCTCACCCCGAGCTCCCGCCAGCCGCCGCAAACCCAGCCGCGGGGGTCTCCTCGTGGTCTCGCTACGTCACAAACGCACTTGGTTTGCGCATGCGTCAGCTGCCCCTTTCTGGTGTACTGTATAACCAGCCGGCCCGACTCGAGACGTAAACAAACTCTGCGAGCGAGCGAGCGAGCGCCCGAGCGAGGCACGTCCGCGCGCTCCCGCCGGCAAAGCGCTGTCGCTTGTCCGCGCGCCCCCTTCGCCCGTTCCTGCCGCCGCTGCCGCCGCTCGCCCGCCCGCCGTCTCCGCGAGCTCTCTGGCGCCCACAACGTCCGAGCCGTTTTCTAGACGCCGGCAACTGCCCGCTTAGCCTGCAGGGAAGCCGCCGTTGCCCCGTCTGCTTACCCGAGAGCGGCTTTTGGGCTCAGAAAGGCGGGTGAGGGCTCTTACTTCTCTCCTTTACCGCTTCTGTGTGGAGTCCCCCTCGGAAAGAGCCGAAAGAGCAAGAAATGCCTGCGCCGCCTCCCCCCCCCCCCATCCTCTCGGGGAAAGGGGAACGCAAGAGGTTGGGCTGGGGGGAGGGGTGGCGAAGAGAGGGGAGGCGAGGACGCCCGAGGCTCGCTGGTATGGCTGTAGGTCGGCCTGGCCGTGTTTATTGGAAGTGACCCGGTCCTGGAGCAAAAGAACCCCGTTAATTTTTATTTTCAGAAGGAAAAGCGGCGCCTTTTACTTTCACGACCAAGACTGAAACTGAGCCGAAAGCTCTCGCGGAAGGCAAGCAATACAAGGAGCCACAATTGATTCGTAGCAAAACTCCCGGGGTTAAAGCTTGGTGATAGCCAGGCCATCATCTTTCCTGAGGAGAAAAAGGGCCTAATTTGTTGATTTGAACAAACAGAGCTTTCGGAAAGTATTACTTGGGAGTGAAATGCTGAGGACATTCTCTCTAACGGTCAAGTTTGGAGCTCTTCACCTTCATTTTTTCATGGAAGGGAAAAAAGGATGTTCTGGCCCCCACTTTGCATCAAAGTGTTGCCTTTAGCTTTTATTTATCTCATTCGCAGCCTAGGGGTGAAATGGGTTTAAATCGGCTATGATATCAGTGGTTAGAGCACCCATATTAGGAAACCGTCTACTTGCAGGACAGTAGCTAGGATTATAAAATTCGTTTTTGTTATCTATTGCCTGGAAGGAAGAAAGACTCGAGGAGAGGCGTCACCAATGGGGCATCCAATTTCATGGTGGTATAATTTTCTGCTGACCAAGAATGGGCTGATAGCTCTTGGCACTTATTCTCCTACAGCACAACTTCAGGCATTATTTTGGACTAGATTGTCTATGTCCTCCTGTCTATAAACAGTAAATATCTCCTCCAAGGCTTTTGGTGAAGACAGTGTTTTCTTTCAAATGAAGTAACAAAAGGATTATTTTAATTGGATACTTCCTACTAATTAAATAACATACACTGTTTTAACAGATTTTAAAAAAGGATTTCAGCTTGCATGAGCTTTTTGAATAATAAAATAAATTCCCATTACTTCATTTTGCGAAATTTTTGGAAGAATTTTTCCAATTCAGTCCATGCAGGGTGTTAAAATATGCAGATATGTATGTTTCATGTTCATTTTATGTTACATAAATTGTTTGACTTAGTATTTCTTGACAAGAAATATAAATACCATAGATGAATTTTTTTCTTTTAAGAATAGTATTAAACGAATAATTTTTACAAAAGAAATTGGAAGCAAAAATAGTAAAATTTTTGTGGACATTCCTGGAGACAAAAAATTAACACCCGCTTTGAGGCATAAATATAAACTTATTAAATGGCAGCATCTGAAATACAGTATCTGAAATAATAGGGGAATATCATCCTGGCTATAGCATTTATTCTCAGTTGAAGATCAAGGATACAGAAATAATCTGTTACTTGTTTTCACCAGAAAGTAGAGAAAGCATCTATGTCTTATTTATATTTTTATAAAACAATATGGAGCTCCTCTCAGATTCAGATACTGCAAAATTTAGTATAAGGCATATTTTTATTACAGATATTTCTGTGTTTGCTATATAAAGATAATTATATATCTTTCTAATTGAATAATTAAAGCATCCACATATTTCAGATAACTCTCAAATTAAAATCATTCTATATTTTTATGCAAGTCACTGGAAACAATCCATGAAAAGACTTAAAGTTCTCACTAAGAATAAAGTGACAACAGCTACAGTAATTGTTCATCATCTAAATGAGTGGCAGGTTTGGAGAAGCAGCGTTGCTATGTTTGCATTAGGGCTTAGTATTTTAAGAGTGTTGTATATGCTGTCTTGAGTTCCCAAGGCAGGGTAAAAAAAAATCTAACAAATAAATAAATGTCAGGAAATAAGCATCACCTCATGAGTCTTTGCTTTATATTTACCAATAATTATTTTGAGGTTTCATTTTCCTTTGTAAGTATTTTTATTTCAATTTTATGTATTTTTTTTCTGTGAAAAATTCCTACCATTTTGCAAGCTTCCTAGAATTGTTTTTGGGGAAAAATACTTCTGGTCATATTAATTATAAAATATTTGCACTTGTCTTAGCAAAAGAAGTTTTTTTCAAACTTAACTGTAAAATATGTGGACTTCAACTCCCAGAATTCCTCAGTCAGCTTTCTGAAAATTTTAGGAGTTGAAGTTTCCATATCTTACATTTGCCAAGTTTGAAAAACACTGATTTAGAACCTTCCAGGATACAATTGTACTAGGTAATACAGTTTACTGAAAAATTATTAATTGTTTTCCTGTATCTTACACAAGTTAAGTTTGAAATGTACTTTTAGTGTTTTGATCATGCTAAGTTTCTATGCCTGGTCAAAATAGCTATGATTGTCATTTTATTTATGCTGAACCATAAGGAGTCTATAATTTACTATTACATTCTTTTTGTTCCAGGAAATATCGTGATTTGAAGATCTGTTTTCAGACATTTGCAGTACTAAAATGGCTTCTGCTGTAATTAGTTCAGTCCCTACAACTGCATCTAGATTTGCTCTTTTGCAAGTTGATAGTGGCAGTGGCTCTGATTCAGAATCTGGAAAGGGAAGAAGTAATCAAAGTGGTGGAAAGACTCAAACTGCAGGCAACAAGTCAACTATAAATGAAAAGAAAAAGGAAAAGAGGAGGAAAAAGAAGGAGCAGCAGCAGAGTGAAGCAAATGAGGTTAAGTGTGGGTCAAATTGGGAAAAAAACCTAAATTATTAATAAGAGAAATAAATCACCATACAGCTAAACTGTGAAAATAGTTTCAATGAGTCATTCTTTCATATGTGAAAAAAGTTCATTCTTCTCCTTTTGTTTTTAGCTCAGAAATCTTGCTTTTAAAAAAATTCCTCCCAAAGCCTCCCATGGAGCCGGCTTCTCTTTGCAAGAGCAAGCTTTCAACCACACAGGGAGGAAAGACTCCCAGGAAGAGGATTGGCAACAGTGGAGGCAAAGAGATGAGCAGGTACTTCAGTATTTTACTTTTCAATTACTGCAAAATTTTAGCACTCCTTCCTTATTTTGCCATAGCTACAACTTTAAGCAGGTTGGCCTCAAAAGAGAGAGTGACTGTCCCAAAGTCACCTTGTGTGGTTCTGTGACTGAACATAGACTTGAACTCATGGCTCTCTAATGCCAACCTAGCATCATAACCACTATATCACATTGGCTCTTACTTGTGCTATGCTTAGATTTTCTGGCAAAAAAGTAGATATAAAACTGCAGCCTAAGGTTTGCATATACCTGAAAGTAAGTCCTATGAATATAATTCTGGGTAGGCATGCATAGAATTTGTATGCAATTGACTGCAGTCTTGAGCAAATTTATTTAGAGTTGGGATCCCCAAACCTTTCAGCTCATCAACCTCTTTATTAATTTTAAGGTTGTTTATCAATCCCCAAACATAAATTATATGAAAAAATTACTTTATGAATAACAATAGCAACTACAGTATAATAAATAATAATCTTTTTAAAAATAAGTAATATTTGAAATACAGAATTTAACATACCTTTTTAAACTTGTAACTTGATATCATTAATGGGAAGGATACATCTGTTGACCATCAAAATGGACACTGATATTTGGTTGGAGATTGGTGAATTTTAGTCATAAATCACCACACTCGTCCAAGTTCAATCTGTTCCTATTGTTCCCCATTTATTGACCTCTTTTTGACATTCAGCTAGACTACTTTAGAGAACCCTGAGTTACAGCAAAATTTTCCTTAATTCAGAATTTATGTTACTATATTTTTGAATTTGGAACGGTTCAACATAAGTAGCTGTAACACAGTTGCTTTTACTATTCTCTACAAAATCTTACTAAAGACTTCAGTGGTGAGAAAAATGTTTTGTAGATCCAGCATACATGGTATTTATACCCATGCTGCTACGTACATTTATTTCACAGGAGTAAGATTTTACTATTTTTATCCTGGTCTTCTTAATTTCACTTAAGAAATACAGTAAAGGACAGTGAAAAATAGTCCGAGTCCACTTCATCAAAGAATAGTTTTAAATTAAAGGGTATGTATATTTAAATAAATGTTTTGTCACAACATCTGCTTTCCTGCCTTGTTTTTTCAGCTGACTTCTGAAATGTTTGAAGCAGACCTTGAAAAAGCTTTACTTTTAAGCAAACTGGAATATGAAGAACACAGAAAGGTATTTCTTACTTTCATTAAGATTAAAGCATAATAAATATCAATTCCAGATCCTGGATCTACCTTAATATCAATTATTTTCTTAATGTAGAAAAGTCTTGAGAAGCTTAACAATATTTAAATATTGTCAGGAAAGAAAGCCTCAGTTCATTATATCATATCATATTTAAAATGTGTTTTCAAATCTTATCTGAACAACAAAAAAATAAGAAAAAAGACTTTGTTTTTCTTGCACTAAAAAGGAAACATTTTTAAATTTCTTTCTATATATATAGGTAGTCCTCGAGTTACGACCACTCATTCAGTGACCATTTAGAGTTATAAGGGTGTTGAACATGGGTGGACTTTCAATTTTTCTTGAAGTTGCAGCCTTCACAGGGTCCCTGCAGTCATGTGACTGCAATACAGACAACTGTCTTGTATTTAAAAACAGTTTCAGGTTTCTGTGGTCATATCATTGCCATGTATGACCTTCTGTGCTGGCTTCCCTCAAAATCAATGGGGAAACTGGCAGGAGGGTCACAAGTCACTCCCATTCTTTCTTGCCTCTTGTTCGCTGCCTACTTGTATTCTGTAGGTTCTACCCGCTCACATTTCATAGTGCCTGCCCACAACTCCTGGCTGCCTGTGGCACTCACACACCCATAGCTCTCACCTGCCAGCTTCCTTGCCAACACCCATCTCTTCTCATGTCATGGTCAAGTGAGTTCCTTGTTTAACAAGTCATACAGTCCTGGGGTTACGACAGCAACCAGCACTGCCTGGATTGCCACCACTAAGCAATGTGATGCGATGTTCAGAACCACATCGTGTAACAGTGGAATTTCCAGTCCCAATTGCCAGCAAGTCCAGTCCTAAAGACTACCTGTATATACATGTACACATTTTATATGATTCAACATGAGTTGATTAAAAACACTGGTTTACCAATCTAACCTCAATGTTGTTTTGAAACATCCTTGACAAAAATTATGTGTGAGAATATAAAAACATCAGAAGAGAAGGAATCATTAATCTTTTGTCATAGCTTATATTAAAATATAGTGTTATCAAATTGAAAACTAATTATAAAATGCCTGAATCAATTGATAAAATATTAATCTAAATTATATAATTTCAATTTAAACAAAGTGTATACTAAGCAGATTTATCAGTAAACTATAGGCATTTATCATTTCATCTGAAAAATACTAATCAAATCATAGAACCATAAATTAGAACTAACATATTAGTCAGCTGTGCATTTGTACACCTACATTCTTCTCATTTCGGTTTTGTTCTAATTATTAGAATTAAGAAATGAAGAAATTATAGCTTTCTGTTACATCTGGGATTCTGCTTGGTTGTCCAAAAAAATCAGGATCTATAAACAACAACAAACACTGCCTTCTGGTTTAATTTGTCTGGGAACAACAAACTACAATTTTTGTTTAGGGCAGGGGAAAGATGAATAAAATATATACAACAGTGTGAAACTTGTTCCTGAAAACTGGTGATACTGCCTTTCTATTACAAATGTATTGAGCCCTTTCTGATTTATTCCATATAGCAGTGGATTCTTCAGGTGCTTGCAGAAAATACAATTATCTATCAGTTTCTAATGTCCCATGTAGAAGAAAGTAATCTGTAAAAGAGTTGTTTTCCAGTATGGTATTGGAATTAGAGTAACAAAATGTAATTAGATCTTCTCTAATTTTAGATCACAGTTCAAAATAAGGGTGGCAGGGGTTCCATTGCTAATTATATAACTGATTGTAAAAATAAATTATAAGAGTCTCTGTAATAATATTGTAATAAGGTTGACTTCTGTTTTAGTAGGAAAAGTATTCCCAGCATAATAGAAATACGCAAATATCTATCTACCTACCTACCTACCTACCTTTAAAAAGAATCTTAATTTTTAAAAAATGTACCTATAAACATTTCCTAAGTATAGGAAATGTTTCTTTTTGCTAAGAAGAATTTAGTGTAAGCTATGAGGGATGAATTGGGGCTTGAATTTACAATAGTATAATAGACCTTCCAAGGAGGAAATCAAAACATGTACTTCTCCTGCATGTATTTTAGGAATGCAAACAGGAATTTCCAATCACAGGGTAGGGTTGGAGATAAGTCCAAAGTCAGGACAAGGAAAAAGGAAGCAAAACCTATGTGCTTTGATTGTTCATTCAATAAAGTGTCACTGCTGTTGGCTGTGATGCAGAAGAAGGTCCGGATGGCAAAGTGACCAGTTACTGTGGCTCTGCTGAGTTAGTGATAAATGTACTTAGTCGGGATACTGATAAACATATTCAGAATACTAACTGGATTGTATTTGGAAATAGATAAGGTTTGAAAGAGAGGATTTGTTTGGGAAACATTTTTGAGCAGCGGCTCTGCCCTTTTTCATTTGAGATAAGGGATTCTTCCACTCAGGGCCATAAGACTGGATAAACCACCTACCATGAAGGAACTGATAAGGTTAGAAGATTAAAAACCCTAGCTGATCACAATTCAAGTTGCAGATACAAAGAGGCTCTAATAGCAAAATTGCTGCATAACTGATCCAGTAGTTTAGTTAGCCCAACAGTGTCTCTCTTTTTTTTTTTGTCTCTTGTTTGAGGTTCCTTTTGATTTGCTCCCCAAATTCTCTTATATTTCCAATAGATAAGAGAGTGAAAATTCTAAATGCTTTCTGATGAGGCGATTCCAGACATGATGGTTTTTCTTTCGGAAGATGTAGAGTCATCTGAGAGGCAATTTCAGCTTCCAATAAAATTTTGTTTCCCAGAAAAGAATTCTCTACAAGAATTTCCAGCGTTCAATAACTATTTATACATTATCTGAATGATGAAAAGACACTATAAGGGGCAGTTGGAGAAGCACAGTTCTTCAGAAATCAATTCCTTAGGTCCTTATCTTCCTTATAGACAGTAGAGTAAGCCTCTCTTGATCAGATTATCCTCTGCCAATCTAAGAAACCCCATAGGTATCCACCTAATAACTGTAGATTGTGATCAATTTTCTAGTAGCTGTGATGGGTAAAGGTACCATGGGTTTCAAGGATAAAAATGAGGCCATAAGGAATTCTGATGACAGGAAGCTTTTGTCCTCAAATCCTGTAAACTTCAGACTTAGTCATTAAGTCAACAACTGTAATACATTTTTCTTTTCAGAGAAGGAACTGCTTTCTTGCAGCCGAGGAGACATTCATGACTGGGTTTTCTTCCTAGAAGGCAGTGCCAGACTTTTAGATTGAGTTTCTTATGTGGTGATATCATATAAGCTGCTGCAAAAGCTATGAGAACTAATGATGTGGCAGAATTTCTTATTAAAGAACTACCAAATTATTCTCCCTGATAGGGCATAGTGTCTTTGGAGCTTCTTCATGACATGCATGTTGAAATATAAAATAAAGAGAGTATAAGAAGACCTGAGAAATGACTAGAATTATTTTTGCTCCATTTCACCTCAGCCAAGAAGCAGAAATAGTGAACATGGTAGAGAATTTTACCCTTTCACTTAAGGTTAGATAATTTTTATGCTCATAATCACCCAATAATTATTTTCCTTTCTTATGAACATGTAATGAAAAATATAAAAACTACTGGGTTAAACAATTCAAATAATAAAATTAAAATAAAATGAGCAGCAAGAATAAAACCCAACCCCAAACCCTGCTTCCTCAAGGTACAATAAATGATAGAACGTAGCATGACACCCTACACTTAGTAGTAGGAAAGATTCTAGTAGTTTGTAGTCTCCTGTGAAGTGTTTATGTTGGATCACTGAGCCTATGCACTGTCAAGGAGGGTTGTGCTTTTGAACTGTTTTCAAAATTTCAAAATGTTTTTCCTGTCTTTAAAATTTTAAAAGGAATAAAAGTGCCATTCATCTGATAAGCAGCACTTCCTTCAAACAACAGGATCTCAGGCATATATTCAATTTTTGTTTTAGTCCCAAGAAAATGGACTGGAAGAGTCATATTAGATTCTAAAGGCCTCAAGAAGCATGTAAAGTCACATCAGTTTGTATGGAGATGTTCAGATCATTCAAATGTGCTGTATTGAAAGGAGACTTTATCACTTTGGTGATCTCATAGAGGCCTAAATACATAGTTCCACCCTTTGAAGACATTGCAAGTTTCTCTGGTTTATATATCAAATACATTTCAGTGCACATCCTCACCCTTTTGAGTTCTCCTCAGCTTCCAAGATAGTTACAAAACTGCTGTCCATCTTAAATTCACACCTTGGACATTGGGAATCTCATGGTGTTTCAATAAAATATAGCAGATTCCACAGTTTCCTTGAAGAAGATAGCTCTGCAATTAGAGCAGTTCTCACATCCTGTATTTTATACCTCGTTTTCCTGCCCTCATTGGCAGGGAATCAAGACCAAAGCATCATCACCTAAATGGAGCATTGCCTTTCAGTGCTACAAGTGCTACTCATCAGAGCCTTGTCTAAGTGAAAACATCTCTGACATGATGGACATCAACAGTTTTTGAGAAGAACAATTCCCTTAAGGGGAAGAAATAACAGAGTAAAAGAAATATTAGTATCAAAAGCTGAGGAATATATATTGGGAGGGCTTACTGGCACGAAACAGGGCACCTACCTCAGATTCCCATAGTGTAAAGTGATAAGAACTACTGGCTTTCCTGTTTGGGCTGAGGGGCAAGCATATGCTGATATTGGTGACAATGTAACTGCAAAGACTCATATCAACAGGAATGAAGCAGCTGCCAGTTGCAAGATATTTGGCCAAGGTCCTTTCTTCCATCTGGATACAGAATGGCTGAACCTTCATGACTGAAGATTGAACAGCACATATTTAAGGCACAAGTAGGTGAGACTGGAGTTTTACAGACGTCTAAAGCACCTAGATGGAAACACATTAAACAGCTATGAAATCACTAGACCTTTTTGGTTTTTTATCATAAGAGAAAAGGTAAAAATTATCAGATGTCATATTTCTTCTGTTTTCTGAATGATGCTATTAGGGAAGGGTTACAGCTTACTATTGCAAAGAGGTGATTACAGCTAAGATTTTGGAGTTTGTCCATCATGTTGAACCAGGAGAGAAGGCATACTCTGGATGTATGTAAAGCTCTCAAAGTCTCTCAGAAACATTCAGGACATTCAGATGTGTAGATTTTTCTTTATAATCCTCTTTTCTTGTAAGAACCAAAATAAACCTGGGCATGTATAATTGACATGTTTTTGTTCTTTCCCCAAGAAAAACCTCAATGCTTCTACTCTGGCAACATTAACATTGATATTCTCACTGGATATATCTGTGAGCAGCCATTTGGCTGTTAGTGTCCGTGTTTATTAAGATGCTACCTACTGGACACCTTTGCTTCTTTTCTAACTTTTTTAAGTGATGTGTATTAAAGCATAGAATTGAAAGAGTTAAAAGAGCTGTTTGAGCTGTGTAAGGCAAACAATTATTATATGCAAAAATTAAAGTATCCTTAATTGGTAGCTATCCATACCCTGCTTGAATTAGATAAAGACACAAAGCTCTCTACCTCACTGAACATTCATTACTGAATTGTCCTTAAACGAGTTCTTTTCCTGATGTTCAGTTAAAATCTGGAGTTACAGAAAATAGATTGACTTTTTGAGTGACAGGTTTCAGGTACTTGATGCTTTCATATTTTTGTTCAGCCTTTCTCTTGTCAAAGACAACTGATTCTTTTTTTTATTTAAAGAGATTTTTATTTATAGATTTTTAAAATTTCCTAGCCATCTTTGTTGAACTTCCCTATACATATTGCAAGTTATCTGGATTCTTCTTTAAAAAAACCCCAGAAAATACAAAATCAAAAATGATCATAAGAAATATGAGAAATTGAAGTTCTAAATTTGCAGATTGTAGCTCCCAGTTGAATTTTCCTAGATTTGCAAGCTAAGCACAATTGTAACTGGTTACTACTTCATTGGCACATCACCAAGCAATCCCAGATTTGTAAACTAGATTCTTGTGGAGAAATACAGACTTCCATGCTCAGTTCTTTGTTGTTATCAGTTTTTCACCCATAGCAATTTCTCATGCTTCTAAATGCCACTGCTCTAATGAAAGATGTTGAATAGCTTTCAGTGTCTTGCTGTAACAAATTTTTCAACAATAATAACAATCAGTTTCTTATGTTGCCTCAATTTATATGCCAGAAGAAATATGGACAATAAGCCAACAGCAGGATTCATTGTAAGAGACACTTGGGTGTTTTTCATATTTTCTTCAAATATTTTGACCAGAAGTAAAACTAATTGTGCATTATAAGAGAAGACAATATGTACCTTTTCTGTTTATATCTTCCCCAATGTAGTCCAGAAAGGTTGTGTTTTATATAGAGTAATTCTATTTGACAGCATTTATAAATTGCTCCAATAAAAAGAATAAATAAAAAATTAGAAGAATGATTCTTAAACATTGTGGTATTGTGACCCCTACGATAAGTGATGTGTAAGCCCCCTTCATATGGCCCATTAATATGACTAGTGATTATACAGGTTTTATGTTTCTACAATCAATATTTAAACAGACCACTTTTTATAAGTAAATTATTAAATTTTAAGTAATACATTATAGTATGTCAGTTGCGAATAACAAGACTCAATTAGAGTTTTAAAAAGAGTTCAATTGTTTTATTGCTCAAGCCTATTAGAATTACACAGACTTCTCAGGAATCTTCTCATAGTTTGCATCTGGGTGAGACTAGATAAAGTTCAATGGCATTCAAAGGGTGGGGTCAGACTTCGGCCTCTTGGGCCATGTAGGGAATCTAGGTTAATTCTCAATTTGACTCCTTCCCCTGGCTTGGACAGTCTCTCTCCAACACAACGTTTCTCAAACTTTGAAGCACACTGTGTATTTGTCCAGGAAAAATGAAGCACAAAGTCTGGTAGAAGTTTTGACCGTGGTTTCATTTTGCCTATAGCTGCCTGATCATTTTTATTATTATTATGAACCCTCATAGGTAATTCCTTAGAACCCAATAATATACAATGAAGCTAAACTATTGGATCCACAAATAATTTAATTTCACATTTCTTCTTTATAGTCTACAAATTTTGGTTAATCTATGGAATTCAACAATACAAAAAATACAATTTAGGCAACTTATTAGAGAAACTAATGGATGTTAAAACTATTATTGGCTACTCATGTTGATGCTTACATCCTGCTTTTATTTCTTGAGTGGGATCTAGCTGGATACTATGGCAACAGAATGCTAGACTAATTGATATATAGTATTTAAGATATATAAGATAAATTTGAATTGTTCAGCCCTGTGAGTAAGATCATTTCTATTCACTGAAGAAATACATTCATGACAGTAAAACTGTAGAATCATATTTTAAGTTATTCATTTATTAGATTCTTATCCCACTTTTATTACTTTGTAAGTAATTCAAGGCAGCGAACATTCCTAATACTCCTTCCTCCTCCTATTTTCCCCACAACAACAATCCTGTGAGGTGGGTTGGGCTGAGAGAGAGAATGACTGGTCCAAGGTCACCCAATTGGCTTTCATGCCTAAGGCAGGACTAGAGCTACTTCATATGAAGGATAAAAGCATTTGGGACAATTAAGTGAATAGCAAATTAAGAAAATAATGTTTATACTAATGTTATATGTTATACAGTTCATTGTATAATGCTAAATAGAGTTCACCTATTTGGAGAAATATCCAAAAATAATAAATTGTATCAATCAAAATGTTAGATGTTTTATTCCCTTTTTATGCTTAATTTTGTTTTGATACAAGTGTACTATATACATTTTGAAATAATTAGAAATATATATATATGTATATATTTATTCTGTTATAGGAATATGAACATGTTGAAAATACATCTCTTCCATCAAAGGCTATACATAAAAAAGAAAAACGAAAATTTCATCAAGGAAAAGACAAACCTCTCACAGTGTCTTTAAAAGATTTTCAGTCTGATTCTAACATAGGTATGTTTTTATTTTAAATTGTGAACCAGAATAGATGCTCAGAACAGTCCTTAAAATTAGAACTTTTGCCAGGTTGGGGAAACTGATTTATAAGGCAATTAAAAAGAATTGCATTCAGGAAGTTAATGGGAAATACTAAAATTACTGAAAATGCTGTTAGTTGTAAAATATTACATGTTTTACATATTGTATTCATGTAATCAATCATGGCATGTACATCCCACTTTTTTCCCACTAAGAAACTTTTAACAACTAATAGATTAAGTATAAAAAATGCTGAAAGCAATGATAGTTGGTGATCACAACATATATGAATTACACACACTGTCTTCTAATTAAGGCCACTTAATTGAATGTAATAAAGAGAGGAAAATGCACGTTGGCCCATCCTCCTTGAATGCCCTTCTCCACCTTCTACTGAAAAGCATATAAGAGCATTCCCAAGCTAATTCTGCTGGCATCTCTTTAAAATTCAAGGCAGTAACTCAGTCCTAATCTGAAAGCACCCAGAGAAGCTTGTGGAAAGTACTGTAATATGTTATGAACACAGATTCCATGTCCGGGATTATGAACAGGGATTCCATGCCTTGCAGCTTCTAGTTATTCTTCAAAGGCAGCCATATACTACATTGCATATATTACTTGGAGTTGGGAAGATTATGGACAACTGAGGAGACAGTTATTATCATTATTACTTTATGGATCATCATTTAAAGTTTAGAGCAGTTGAACCTGAGTGAACCTTCTGTCATCCAGGAGTTCAGAAGTCAGTGCAGAATGTAATCCTTGACCTAGAAAAATGGTTTAGGAAGATATAACAGTTTATGCTTTTGAAAGGTGCCGAGAATTCCTGGCAAATCATCAGGTTGATGATTTCTTTCCAGCTAAGGTCATTCCTCAAGATAAAGGCAGTTTATGTTTTAAAAAATTCAGAAACAAAACCTTTTTTTAGCAAATGTCTTTTGGTTTGTGTTGATTGGTAGGGGTAGATGTTGAAGGACATTTAACTTTTAAGAGCTAAGAAAATTAACAGAGATCTTGATGGGAGGGAAGAATCAAATTGATTAATGGATTAGAATTTAAATAAAAACACAAAGATGCTGGAAATTTAGTTGAATTGGAAACATCTTCAGTAGAGGAGGCCAAAATTCTATTTTCTTGAATTCTGGAGTTTTTAACCTCCTGTCCGATGCCCACTCATATTTTCAGTGAAAGTAAGAAAAAGAGATTGGAGACCAAGGTTCAAAACGTCTTTATTTCCTCTACAGTTAGTGTGCAAAAATACTACTCCGGGTACTCTCTAGTATTCCTATTTGTATGGTTAATGTTTAGACTCAAGAAACTGCTAAATCAAGAAACAAGAAATTTAAATTCAGGGTATCTTGTTTTATAATTTTTGTAAATATATGGTATTGATATCTGATTTTGAGGGGGACCTTCAGATTTATTTAAAAATTTTACCTGTGATATTTCTCATGTTTCAGATCATTTACCCAAAAGGCAAGAGGTAAGTTCTTGAGTTTAACATGACATTAATTATTCTAAATGTCTAAGTGACATGCTTTTAATTTTTTGATTGCTATTTTGTATAACTTTTTCAATTATGTATGGCAAGTTACTGGTGAATACTTTCTTTTATATAACAGTCCTGTCCTCAATAGCCCAGAGAAATACTTTATTTCAGCCCAACAAGATGGACTAAACCAGTGGCCCCACAAACTTTTTGGACACCAGGGACCAGTTCCATGGAGAAAGGTTTTTCCGTGGACCAGAGTGGGCATGGTTTCGTGTGCTGCCTGCATCCCGTGGATGGAGCTTTTCTTGTTGGCGCGGCCCTGTTTCTGGCATGCTGCAGCCCGTGCCAGTCCATTGATCGGGAGTTGGGGACCCCTGGACTAGACTAATAAATGAACACCTTATAGGTCCAGATTAATTTTATTGTAACAGCTATGGTAACAGAATCTTGCAAATTTGAATATTCTTCCCCTCCTTCACTTTATCCTCGTGTGAACTAGGGAAGGGCTTGTTTGAGATGTTTTCTCACATTATTTTCTTGGCCCAGTCTCAAGCCTTTCTTACCTGACCACTGCCTTGATAGCAGTTCTTCCTCCTGTTGTTCAGGGCCATTCCCTGTACCTCTACAGTTTGATATACAGATAGTCCTCAACTTATGACTACAATTGGGACTGGAATCTCAGTCATTAAGAAGACACCCATTTGATTGCTATGCTCAATGACTGCAATCCAGGTTGTCCCTGCTATCATGTGGGTTGTTGAGCCTTGGGAATAAAGCCTCCCCCCCCCACATCTTGGTCCACTTACGGTATTTTTGCCTTTTTCCGCAGCTTTAGGCATGCCCAGTCGATGTGGAGCATGGTCTTCCATCAAGGCCACCTCGTACAATCCCGCAAGTGGGTTCCATTCTTGTGATCTTTGGAAGGTTGCTTCATCAACTAATGTAATTTGGAGAAGGGACCTTCTGAGCGATCATGAGAAATAATAATTGCCATGTAGTTTCCTAGGGGAGGAAGGCTAGAAAGCTAGTGAATGCTACCATTCTAAAGGCCTGAAATCAGTACGCTGCAGGAATGCACCTCTGAGGCCAAAAACCAAGAATATGTAGTTATTCTTCCTAGTTAAGTTTTTTATGTTTCCACCATAGACAGAATCTTGCCAGACTAAGTATTTGAATATCTGCATCTATCATATACTCTGTAAACTCTTCACCACTTGTGAACTCTGAACTTTTAGGGAGCAGCTTTCTCTAACACAAAATAACAGGACTGAGCTGTCTCTTATTTATCTGGAATACACCTCCTCTTTCCTGGGAATCCAGCAAACTACATTCCATTATGACCTCAAATATTCCAAACCACATTTTTGTTCAGAGAATGTAGATAACTGAGAATCCAGAAAGATAGGAATTATTTTTTAAAAATGTTCACGGTAAATTAAATGAATAGCAATACAAATTGTTTAGTTCTGTTTCTTATACATTCTTTAGTTTGACTAATGACTGATTAAACATTTTTCTGAATAAATTTGTAATAAAAAATAGGGTTTCTTAAGGTCCAAAATAATAATCCCAAACTCCAGTTAGTTGTGTATCCATTATGCTTGCTCATGCCTTACCTTTCTATTGATTCACCACTACTTTTTTCTTCCTTATTTGAGGGCTGTTTCTTAATAATTATATATGTCTTGTTTACTGGAGTCCACATGCCAAATATTACATAAGCAAACCTTGCTCCATTTGGATTAGGAGTTTTACATCAATATAGCTTGTGAGCAATTCAAGACCTATTTTCAATTGAGTTTTAGAAGACAAACTATGATTGAATTTAATGAGACCTTAAACAAGTCATAGAGGCTTAAAATCATTGGTTAGTTCACTGGTTCATTTCAACAAATTAGAGTTAATGTTAGCTACAGGTAATCCTTGACTAACAACCATTCATTTAATGACATTTCCAAGTTACAGTGGCACTGAAAAAATTACTTATGACCGGTCCTCACACTTACAACCATTGCAGTATCCCCTTGGTCAGACAGTCAAAATTTGGATGCTTGGCAACTAGCATGTATTTATAACAGTTGCAGCATCCCAGGGTCATGTGATCACCATTTGCAGTCTCAACCAGCTTCTGATAAGCAAAGTAATGGGGAACTCTGGATTCACTTAATAGCTGAAGTTATTTGCTTAACAACTGTGGCAAACACGGTCATAAAATTGGGCATGACTCACTTAACAACCACCTTTCCTAGCAATTTAAATTCTGGTCCCAATTGTAGTCATAAGTCAAGGACCACCTGTACTTTTTAGGATATTGGTTCTCAAACAAATCATTACTCCCCCAAAGGAGATCATGAGCAGCTTGGGAGCAGGTGCAAAATTTCTGTTTTGGTTTGAAAGCTGATCAGGCTTAGTATCGTAGCAGCAAAGCAGAAGTGCTGTCAAAATTCACTCTTGTTTTGCCCTGATAAGCCTATAACAAAGCGCAGAGTGAATTTTAAGAGCGGTTCTACCTTGGTTCCACAAATTCATTTTTTCTTTTAGGGGGTCACAGTATAATTTGAGAACTCTTGTTTTAGGTGGCTTATCTAAAATAGATGGAAAGCTATAAAACAACAGAGGACACATATGTGGCTTTAAGGCTTATTACATAGTTCAGCGTTACATTCAAATGCAGTTGGACACATTTATCGTATCCTATTATCTAATAGCATGGGGAATTATTACAACTTGATCAGCAGTGACAGTTTATATTTAAATCTATCCATGAGCATAGGATTTCTTGATAAGAATTTATAACTTCTGTTTTGAAATTGATCCATGAGCCTTAAAACAATTATTGTCTAGCTGCTGGGTGGTTTTTGTTAGAAGTTAATTATAGTTTCTTTACAGGAATTGAACTCGCCACATACTCTCTTGAATGATGGCGAATTCTTCAATAGACTGGAAGATGATATGCATAAAATTCTAAATAAAGAAAAAAGAAGGGAGCCTATCACAGATTATGGAATAGATAACAGTACATTTTGTGACCGCACACAGGTATATTTAAGAGGAATTAAATACATATAATATCAGCAGTTTAAGGAGTATAGATGAATTAGAGGAGTCAAAATTGATTATACTAAACAACTCAAAGGAGAAACAGAAGCAGCATAAGACTTGCCAAAAAAATCAGTAAATTTCTTGATATTGGAAAGTATCTGACAAGCAATTACGTCACCTTAAGAATGGGCCATGGTTTTGCTTGTTTTCCTTCTCTTTTCTTCATCTTTGTTTTTATTGTGTCAAATATATAGACAGAATACTGTATCTATTAATCTTACTTAAGTTACTCTGGAGCTTTTATATTTCAAGAGCATGATAAAAATATTTTAAATAAATACAAAACAAATTAATAGCTTGTTTGTCATGTTACAGAAAAGTCCACAAATAAAATAGAATTGTTATTTTCATATATCTGGCAATGGCAACAAAATATATTTTAGATGCTCAGGAAAGCTAATGTTAATATTGGTTAGGATATTCTTACTGCCTGGCCAAGTCTGACAGAAGATCAATTTTGAACCTGTCTTAAATTGAACCTGCATATTTGTTCCTTCAAAAACACCTGTCAATAATCTTTCTATATACTAGAAATTTTTGTTCTGTAATCTCTAAGTGAAAGAAACAGTATATGATACTGTTTTTTGTTGCAGAAATTTTTCAACCAAGGTACCTCAAATTGGGTAACTTACAGAATGCACCCAAAATCCAGGACCCCTGACTCTAGTGGAATTGAAATTTGACAAATTTATTTTTTGAAACATTTGATGACATAAAATTATCATAAAACAAGTTTATGATATAATGCAAAATGTAGTTAAACATTTCTGTGCTGATGTTTGACTGTGCTATATAGTTCAACATGGGCTATTTTCAAGGCAGCTACATCTCTGAATGTGATCCCAACTTTAGTAGTGAGGATAATGCATTAGAAGTTCAGCAGTTATTGAAAGCATTGAGGAATCTGGTAAGGAAATAATCTCTGAAAAGACGACCCAACACGTCTCAGGTGGTCCAGTGTGTTACTAAAATTCTGCTGTCTATTGTAACATTCTGTGGACAGAAGGCTGCATCTTAGGGCAACAATTTATGACTCAAGGTACAGGTAGTCCTCAACTTACATATGGTCGCTTAGCAACTGCTTGATGTTCCAATGGATCCTGAAAATGGGACTTGACAACCCAGATTCTGTTCTGGAAATTTTTTTTCTGGTTTTGGGCACTTAACAACTGGACTGCATTTATGGCTATTTGCAACATCCTACAATCACATTATTTAATTTTTTTCTGGTTTTTGCTGATTTCCAGTATTTACTTCTAGTTTCCAGCAAAGACCATCCAATAGCAAACAATGTGTTTGCTTAGTGATCATGATATTTGCTTAAGAACTACCACATTCACTTTACAGTTGCATTTGCTTTACAGCCACTATGTTTGCTTAAGGACCTAGCAAAAAAAGGTAAGCTCGGCTCTGACCCACTTTATGATCGTCATGAATTATGATCAAGATTGTGGGCTCATGTTGAGAACTATCTGTACCTCAAATGAGATAACTTAAAAAGAATGCATCCAAAGTCCAGAATCCATTACTGCATTACATTCAATCCCATTGGATTAAAATTTGAAGGATCTTCAGACCAGTTCTGTTGGCAAAATTGTGGCCATTGCAGCACCTCTGCAGTCATTTTGGTCATATTTTTCAATGCTCCCTACCAACTTTCCCCAAGCGAAGTCAATGGAGAAGCCAGCAGGAAATTGGAAGTTGTTCTCATTGCAACTGCTGTTTTTGTCCACCCTTGGTGATTCTGGTTTATCTGGTTAGGTAAGGAAATATCTCTGAAATGATGACCCAGTGAGTTATGGGTTGTCAAGTATACTATTAAAAGTCTCCTGTTTGTCAATTTATAACCTTTAACTAGAGAAAGCAGAGCATCGTAGGGCAACAATTTTTGAATCAATTTACCTCAAATGGCTGAACTTAAAGAATGCATCCAAAATCTGGGATCCATGATTCCTGTGGAATTGAAGTTTGACAAATGTTATAAAACATTTGATGAAATAATAGAAACTTGTCATAAAATATTTCTCTGTCAACTCCTGATGTTTAACTATGCTATACATTTCAACATGGGTTATTTTCAAGACAGATATTTTCCTGAATATTTTCCAGAATTTTTAATAACTTTTCCAGTGAAGCTAGTACATTAGAAGCTCTGTCATTGTCATTGAGGAATCTGGTGAATATCTCTGAAACAATGATTTAAACATTCACAGATTGTCTAGTTACCTCTAAAATTTCCATATAATGGTTAAATTAATACAGAATAATTATCTAGGATTCTGCAAAGTCACAATTTATGGATAACATGTACTAACACAAGCAATCTATTCTTTCCTGTTCTATATCTGTCTGCTAGCATTTCTTGCAAACAAACAAAAATATATTGATTTATTTTTCAACCCTGGATTATTTGATGCTTTGTAAACTAGATTCACAAACTAAGCTTCCTCTTAATTTCAGAATCTCTGTTTAAACAGAGTGAGAAAAGGTATCCTTTCCATGAGCAAAAAGTCAATGCGAGGACAGGCTTCAATCACATAAGTACTGTAAACATGTTACAATAAGACAGAATTTTGCTAATGTGATCAATTCTATTGATATAAGATGTTCTGTTATGATTCTGACATAATAAATGAGGATGTATAGCATCGCTGAGCATATTTCAGCATTTGAAAATGCATTAATTACTAATATTTTATATTTCTCTAACTGATATAAGCCTTAAGTTTATATTCTTTAATTCTTGATTTATAGGGTATTTTTCTAAAAGATGGAAGACTAGAGAGATCAAAATTGGAACTTGAAAAGAAAGATGCAGAAATCCAGCAATTAAAGAGTGTAATCAGTCAATGGGAGGTATGTATTTTCCTGAGAAGCATAATTTATTAACTGTAATTAAAACTTCAGATGAAAACATGGTGGTTTTTAGTGCTTTTAACGTATGTGTCTAAAACTATTGATTAAGTAGGTTACGGTTATTCTAAACATTTTTACTTCTTTAGCAATGAATATATTGTTTTCTCGGGAGTAAATATAACTGGATTTACTGGAATATACTGCTTTGTAAGTGTAAAATTGAATACAGGTAGTCTTTGACTTATGACCAGTATTTTAATGACCATTCACAGTAGGCTTTGGAATGGGTGTTTTACACCCCATAAAACACCTCTGGCCATCATAAAATGTCATGCCAGGCCCCTCCCAGTCACATGGCCACATTTTAGGCACTTGGCAACCAGTTCGCATTTATGACTGGTTGTCAAGTGTCCTGCGTCATATGATAATCATTGCAATCTTCTCTACTGGTTTCCCCCAGAAAGGTAACTTTGAGCCAGTCACTGTCTTTCCGTGTAACTCACAATCACAGTATCATTGTGGGGAAAATAGGAAGAAGGAATATTAGATGTGTTCACTGCCTTAAGTTGTTTATAAAATAATAAAGGTGGGCAATAAATAAGAATCTGGCAGGGAAGGTTGCAAACGGGGACATTGGATTTGACATTCGTTTCCCCAGCACTTTGAGGGATTTCCCTCTTCTCCATGCAGTGAGATAAATCCTCTTTCATACTGGAGGAACAAACCTCAAATCTTGTAAGAACACTAGCAGACATCAGCATTCTGAGTCTTTTGGATCATTGGAGTTCAGTATTGTTTTCCCTTCTGTTCCAGATCCTTTCTGAGCCTTCCAGAGAGGAGAGTAAAATGAAAATGCCAGTGGTCTGAAAGGCTCAGAATGCTGGTGTTCAGTAGAGCGCTTTCACCTAATTTGAGATCCGTTCCTCCTGGATGGAAGAATTTATCTAGAGGGAAAATCCCTTGGTGGTCTGGAGAAACAGACCTCAAATCTATATCTGAGAGGACCCAGGCCTCTCAGATATAGTGGGAGACCTAGCTGCTTTCCTGCCCTACCACATTCAGGACATCTGGGTCCTCTCCCTGCCTCACTACTCCCTGGAGGTTCGGGACCTCTCCCAGATGACTTGCCAGTGATTGCAACTGCAAGAGCCAGTATGTGGTTGTTAAGCATAGTGATTATGTGGCATCTCACAAACAAGATTCTGGACCCAATTATGGTCATAACTGGAGGACTACCTGTATAGCCCAAATATTCCTTTTTAATACTTGTTTCGAGATTTGTGAATCTACCCAGTCATTTCTCAATCTGTTTTTTTTGTTTTCTCAAATATTTTAGTTAACAATTAGTATTGCAATGGTAGGTATGTTAATCATTTAAAGAAAAGCAGATAGAAATAATTTATTAAAGGTTTCAATTATATAAGTGTACTATTGGATACAGATAGTCCTCAATTTACAACCTTAATTTGAACCCAGAAGTACAGTCATATGTTGTTGGGGTCAACTTGACCATGCCCAATTTTACCAGTTTTGCAGTGGTTATTAAGTGAATCTGTGTTTCTTGCTAGAAACCAGAAGTACATGCTGAAAACCAGCAAAAGCCAAAAATTGTCACATAACTGCGGAATGCTACAAATGGCCATATAGGTGAACCAGTTGCTAAGTGCCCAAATGTGAAAAATGTGATTGTATGACTGTGGGTGGATGTGCTGCTCTGAACTTTGAAATCGTAGTGCAAGTATCTTATGGGGAGTCCATCGTATGATTGCTAAGCAACCAGTCGTTAAGCAAGAACTACCTGTATCTTGCAGTGAAAGCTACCTTGAAAATATTCCAGCTCTTCCCTGGATAACCTACAGCCTAATGTGAAGAAGAGGAAACATGCTGAATTTCTAGATTATTCTTATGATTAACAGATTTTCTGTGTCATACATGTTACATTGCAATCAAGGGTCAGCATTTCAAGGCAATAATAGATATATGTCTTTCTCCTTGTCCTTTGTTTCATTACTAGATCCTATCTTTGGACTTTTTTCCTAAATTGAACTTTTTAAATGTGCAATTATATTTATTTTCTGAAACTCATAGATTGCAGAATGAATTTACAATTTCAAAGTTAAAATCCTCAATGCATTTAACAGAAGTGAACTAACAGCTAATACTCTTATGTTGAAACAAACTTGGTGAAATATATCACTTGTATTAACTATTTTTTTAAAAAAATATTCAGGCAAAATACAAGGAAGTAAAAGCACGAAATGCACAGCTACTGAAAATGCTTCAAGAAGGTGAAAGTAAGTACTGCTATATGTTTTCAAATTTTTCATTTTTTTAAAAGAACTGGTACAATCACTCAACTATCTGGAAACAGTTTAGGAAAATACTGAGAAAAATAGTTCTATTCTACCGATATGTATTCTATTACCTTAGAGCAGATCTATGCAATCTATGATCTCTTAAACTTAGTGCAGGCCACCATCTTTCTTTTTTAGCTTGCCAGGGATGGCATACCATTCTACTCCATTTTTGAAGATGTGGAAGGTAGACTTAATATTTTCTCTGTTTGACTTTATAGTGAAAGATAAAGCTGAAATCCTCCTTCAGGTTGATGAATCTCAGAGTATTAAGAATGAGTTAACTTTACAGGTAAATATTTCAGTGGCTTTCTTGATATATTGTTGTAAATTATCAAGTCAGAATAATTGTTGGAAGAATTCTGAAGAAGTTCTATTCATAGAATAGGACCTTCCCACTTAAACTGCAATCAAGCAAACACTATTCTTGAGGGCCAGGAAGTGTAGGATCCTTAGAAACAACATGTTCTTTTGTGAAGACAGCATCTGTTCAGCTCACGAGGCCTGCCCTGGGCCTCTCCTACCCCTTGAGGTACCTCATGTCCACTTTCCACCCCACTGGGTACCACTCCCTTGGGCCTTCTGTCCCCTGTCATAGAACCAGCATATTCTATTACAGAAACTGAACCAATGCATCATATTCTAGAAATCAGGAAAGTATACATCCTGCCTTAGGCATGAAAAGGTGACTTCAGGCCAGTCACACACTCAGGACAACCCACTTTGCAAAGTGTTGTTGTGGGAAAAATAGGAGACCGGAGATTAGATATGTTCACTACCTTAAATTATCTATATGAGGCTTCGTTTCTCTGACCTTTTCTGAAGATAGCCTTTGGGAAGAAGAACCGGCTGATCTGCCACATGGTCTTTCTATACAGAGGTCGCATGGTGCTGTCCCAAGAACAGGTGCCATTTTGAGAGTGGCAGAGACTGCTTTGTGTCATTGTGACTGCTCCTAAATAGCGCCCACTTCTAGGATAGTACCACACGGCCTCTGTTTATGAAGACCATGGGGAAGATCAGCTAGTCAGTGAAGCGAAGCCTCATATAGGTAATATAAGGTAATGAAAATATGTAATATCCAGCAATATTTTCCCCACAGCAACAATTGCAAGGTACCGTAGGTTGGCCTGGGAGAGAGTCAACTAATCAACTTTCATGCTTAAGAGAGGACTTACATTTTCCGGATTTTTAGAGTATGAGGTGGTGGAAACTGCTTCAGTTCCTGTAATAGAATATGTCTATTGAATCCTTGTAGAAAAATACTGACATAAAAATAATTTGCAATTATAATTCCAGGGAATTTTCAAAATTCTGTTTCAATTGCTATCATAGATGGTTTAAATTGTGAAATCATTTTCTTGAACAGTTACCAACAAGGAATTAGATCTAATGTTTAACAACACAAAATATTATTTTCCCCTAGTGTTTGTCCCATTTGATTACAAAATTTTACACTGTTTTGCACTGTTCTTATTTACTCCACACTGCAAAACAATCAATGCAAATTGTTACAAGAGGTTTTACATTTCAGCCAATTTGTTGCACAGCCTAACTCTGGTATAGGATTAAGAAAGAGTGACTGGCCCAAGGTCACCAAGCTGGTTTCTGTGCCTAAGAAAAGACTAAAACCTGTCTTCCCATTCCTAATGCACTGCCTGAACCACCAAAGCATACCACTCTTTAAGCTCAATTTGTAAAATAATAAAAGCAAATTATATTTTTCACTCTAATAAAATATATGTCATCCTGTTTAAAATATAACTTTAATTAAAAATGTAAAATTTGTTTTAATAAATCTGTTTTAGAGTAACTATTTGACTTTCTTTAAGGTTGCCAGTCTTCATGCTGCATTGGAACAAGAAAGATCTAAAGTGAAAATACTGCAAGCCGAATTAACAAGATACCAGGTAATATTTAACTACATAATAAAACTAAATAATAATATAAGCTGTTAAAAACCATTATTTTATTCCTTTTTTCAGTTGCAATTTCTTATTCTACTGAAATGCTTCTCTGATGGATTGGAAATTGCTGAACTACATGGAATAGAATATAAGAATTATTATAGAATAGATTATTCTAAACATGGATAAGCATCCCAGTCCAAGCTATTTCTGGCTTTCGACTTCTGAGGCTCAATAAGATAAAGGGCGTCTTCTCTTCAATTACCCCATACGTGCCTATTTCCCCCTGCCATCTCTGCCCTTTTGTCCACCTTGCAGCCTCTGCTGGCCTAGCTGCCCTCCACTCCACTAGCCCTATCATTCTGCTAATCTTGCCATCCTGTGCACCGCTCACTGTGCTACCTTCCTGGGTTTGCCACAGTGGTGAAATCCGAACCGGTTTGCTACTGGTTCGCTGGCTGCACATGCGCACAAAATGTGTGCTGTGCGCACACATGTGCATGCGCAGTATGTGCCAAAAGGAAGCTTGGGAAAGTAAGTAGAAGCGGGGGGGGGGATCAGCTGTGGCGCGCAATTTAGCTTCTCTAGAAAGCAGGATTTCCTGCTTTCTAGCAAAGCTAAACCCCACTACATAGCTGATCATCGGAAATACCAGTTCAGAAGAACTGGTAGCTCTTTTTAACTACCGGTTCAACCAAACCGGTAGATTATTTTTTACTACCGGTTTGCGCGAACTGGTAGCATTTCACCTCTGATTTGCCACCATGTACTCCGCTGGTCATTCCAGGCTGCCAGTCTTATCTGCCCTGTGCTCACCAGCCTTGCCATCCTGTGCTCAGCCCACGCACTTTAGAGAATGGCAGCCATACCTTTCTCTTGAGGATTTAGAAGGCCTCAGAAGTCTGCTAAAACTTTGGGAATACAGTGCACAATATTTTAAAAATAGGAAAAGAGACCTCAGGAAGAAGGCCCGGCTGCTGCTTGCATAGGACTAGGCCAGGTGCCCCTCATCAATAGTAGGTGGAACAGTAGGTGGAAGGAAACAGAGCTAGGAAGTATTGGCCAATGAGTACAGGGTGAATGCAGGAGCAGCGGAGCACAAAGCAGCACACCGAGCCGTTGGAACACAGAGCAGCATGACCAGCAGGATATGGGAGTATCTGGGGCTGTGATGCTAGATAGCTAACTGTAGCACAGGACTTGAGATGGCAATCCTTGGCAATGGTGGGGTTGAAGTAGAGAGGTCAGTAGCTGCCACCTGAAACTGCTAAACTAGGGCAGGGCTGTCAAAACACGTGGCTTGAGGGCCAAATGTGTGACATGCTGGCCACGCCCATGCCCGGTTTAGCGAAGGGGGAAAAAAGTTGCAATACATCATGTGACGATGCTGTGATGACACGAGTTTGATATCCCTGGCCTAGGGCCTCTACTTCAACCCCATGCTACTGCCATCAAGGAATGCTATTGTGCACAGTGGTCCAAAGAGCAGAGATAGATGGGTGACAATAGTTGAATAGACCCTGCAGTTGTCAATGCAGGTGAGCTGCTAAGTGCTTGAATTTTGATCAGATGTCTACAGCGGGCACTGCAACAGCTATAACTTTGGGGGACGGCTGTAAGCACCATTCATTCAATGCTACGATAACTTAGAACAGTCACTGAACAAATTGTCTTAATTTGAGGACTATCTGTACCTTGAACTTCACTTGATTGAATTTTTATTACAAAGGTCAGCAGCTGAGAAGAGGGTTTTTTAAAAGAGAATTTCCTTTTTTAGTATGCTTTTGTGAGAATAGCAGTACCTGTTGGTGCTGTACAGACGTTTTAAAAAACACATTGTATTTTCTTCTCCTTCTCCTCTCCCTCCCATTATTAATTCAATATCCCTTCATTTCTGTTTTTTTCAGGGTGGAAGAAAAGGGAAGAGAAACTCAGAATCTGACCAGGGCAGATGATTTCCTTTATACTAAATTCAGAGCCAAAAAGAGGAATATTGATCTTCAGGGTTTTGCAGAAATGTATATTTATACTACTGCTTAACTATGCAGGTTTTGGGGGGTGGGGAGGGGGAGATGAGGGGTAGTGATTAAAGTTTAATTAACTAACAGTTAATTCAATATACTGCTATTCTGGTTTAAAGTTGGAAATGAATTACATTAATGCTCTGTGTTCTAATGCTGCAGATCTAGTTTTTCATCAATCAAAAAATTGTCATTTTTATTATTCTAGTATGTATAATTTCATTGAAAAATAAATAATAGTTAATAGCTCTTCTTTCAAGGTTGTTTTTACCTTTTAATATTTTCATTATTTTTATCGTGCGTGTGTGTGTTTTACTGATGGGCAGTTACAAATAATATTTGGGTTGTCTTAGAGGGAAAGAAGTAAGACAGAAAAGAATGGTAATACTGTGAAACAGCTCAAAACATGGGGTTTGTAAAAAGAATTCAATCAGCTATAAAAGCAAAATGCTAAACATTTTTAATACAACACATATATTTTGGGGGTATAAACAAGATTCTATATAATATAATTTTATTTATCTTTTCACCATCAGCTGTCACCCAATAGTTGAGCTTTGATTGGTGCAAACATCTCTATTAAAAATTCTTCAACATTTTTTTAAAATGCTATTTTAGATAACGTACACATTTAACTTTCTATTTTTTAGCTTTAACATGTTCTTTATAAACGCATTCAAATACATTTGTTTATATAGTTGTTCCTAAAATAAGGAAACAAGTTTTCATCCTACGCTAGATGTCTATTGTTTACCATTGTATCAGGTAATAAAGAGTACATTTTGCTAAATAGGCTGTCTGCTCTTTAGGCATAGTTCACGAAAGAATTAGATAGACAATGATAATTCGGTTTTAGTTCTCATAATCTCATACGAAGCAAAGTGGAATTCTTCCTTTACCAGAGAAATGTCAATGGGGAGTCTGTCATCCAGGTCATAAATTGTTCTTGGATTATAAACAAAACACTTTTAAGGCAAAATACCAAGAAAGTCCAGTTGCCTTTTAGAAAAGCACTTTTAAGTTTACCAGTGGAAAAAACAGTTTTTACAATGTAAAGGTGATTTTGATCTTGGCTATGTTATGCTACCTTTAAGACTGATTCTCAAGTGTATTAAATGAGTACTAGCTAAATGCATGGTAATAGGTATTTTAATCATGCGTTATTCTGTCCAGTTTTTTGGATTCTAAACTGAACCACACAGGCTGGGTTCATACAATGGCTTGATCTGTCTTAATGTGATTCTTTGCTTTAAGTGCCTCTTATAGTTGAAGGTGTTCCATCTTCATGCAGTTTCAATAGGTCTGATCTGTCAGTCAGCTTCAACAGATGTGGTTTTATATCCACATCTGTTATATCCAGAACCCACTTTGACAAGTGAAACATCATAATTGCTCTATCAATTAGAAGAGGCTATCACAGCATTTCATAGAAATGTTGTGACATAAAATTGGCCATCAATCTTTGTTCAAATGAAGTGCTGCTTTGAAGATTTGCACAACTTACTCAGTATGTGTAATTGTGGTTTTCTATCTTGCTAACAGCTGAGAAGTAGGTAGTTCATGAGATTTCTGTGGCCCCAAATTGCTTTTTTTTTTTTAAATATCCCTCAGTACTTTCAAGTTGAATTGCCAAAATTCAATAGTACTAGATGTTTTCTGCCACTGTGGGATGTAAACTGCAAGCATTATACGCTTTGAAATGAATCAACACTTCAGGTAGAATAAACATGCCAGTCACAATAATAATAAATAATCATATTTATTGATATCGCTGTACCAGGAGACGCCAGAGTTGAAGAAAAAGTAGAAAAAATAACAAAATATTGCAACCTGGCCATCGAAACAACGTGATTATGGATGAAACATGACAGTGATACCCATTGTCATTGGGGCACTTGGCACCATGTCCAATAATTTTACAAAATACATCAAGAAATTACAGCTTTCTGCAATAACACCAGCGGAACTGCAAAAAACTGCTACTCAGAACATCATACATTTTAGGAAGATACTTGGTTGATACAGCAGCCTGGATCAACCGTCAGTGCCAGTCAATAATATTTGTGATACATCTTTAAATGTTCAGTTGACTGAGTTTCATGTTTAATTAAGTATATTATTATTATTATTCTCCCCAGACCCTTCTGCATTCTATTTGATCCTAGCTAGATTTGGCCACCGTACAAGCGAGTAGAAAAGTAGAATCCCTGTATTTGGAGCGTCAATTTCTCGTTGGTTTTATAATTCATTGTGGATTCCGATTTCAGCGAATTGCGCCTTCAGACGTCTTCCTGAGCCGATATATATTCAATCAAATAAAAGTTTCAAGGGCGCTCTTAAATAATTATGAATAATGATTTTAGAAACTTTAATAGTTCCTCCCCCAGAACCACTTGGAGAGAGTATTAAAGAAACACTCCCTTAGTTTTTAAAATGCAAAGCTTTCCACGAAGCAAACAGCAGCCTAAAAACTGCGCCACAACCATCCATGAGTCGTCAAAAAATACGTCAGCAAGCGGCGCAAGTACTTCCCGACAACGTCAAAGTAGCTGCTCACCTAACAATGCCAACTTAGGCCTTTCGGTTCAACTGCGTTTGCGCAGTAAAAAATAAAGTCCCAATGCGCACGCGCTCTCACCACCTTAGTCTCATTCTACGCATGCGCGTAGCCCTCTATTAGATTTCTCATGCGCCGGCCAAGTCAGTTCCTCTTTTCTAGTAACTTCCCCGATCTATGACGTCATCAGTAGGCGCCGCAATTGAGCCGGGCTGTTTCCGTTGAACTCTCCGAGAGTGGGAGAGCTTTATAGTGGTGGGGTGCGCGCGCGCGCGAGGCGGTGAGGAGAGAGGAGAGGGTCGACCTTACCCAGCATTCGCTGCGCGGCTTGGCTAACGAGCACAGGAGGCCGCCCCGCCGTTCGTCCACCCGCCCCGCGCGCGCCATGTCTGAGAGCGGCGAGAACCCTCCTGGGCCCCAGAGCCCCACCGATCCCCCCGTCCCGGCCGCGTCTGCCTCAGCATCTGAGCCGCGGATCATTAAAGTCACCGTGAAAACCCCGAAAGAGAAGGAGGAGTTCGCGGTGCCAGAAACAAGCAGCATCCGGCAGGTGAGGCGGGGAGCCAGACCTAGGCAGGGGGAGGGGCGTGGCCGGTACCACCGCTCGGCGGCGAGGGAAGCACCGACCACCCGGCTCCTACCGGCGGCGCCTAGGCCGCCCAAAGGCCGGGAGAGCGCGCGGCGCTTCTGCACAGTCACTGGCCCAGCTGTTGGCGCGGGCCTGGAAAAGGGATTGGACACGGACTAGGCTCCAGAGTGGAAGTTGGAGCGGTTTTTTTTTTCCAGGTGGGTTTGCGGAGAGAAGTGTGGCTCAAGCGGCTTTCACTTCCCAGTCAGCGTGTCCTGGATAGATCCCAGCCCTTGAGAGAAGGGGAGGCTGACCCATTGGATCTAGTTCTTGGAGGCCGGAGATGCTGAGGAGGGACCTCGGTTTTGCCTAGAAAGGGCCAAAAAACAAAGGGGTGCGTGCGTGTGCGTGTGAAATCTGCACTTCTGTTTTGAGCACAGTCCTCACCTGCTAGCAGGCCTTGGGGTTTAGCATGGGAAACCAATGGAAGGCATCGAGTCGTTTCAAACACAGGCTGGTTTTCTACTTCTTCACATGAGCCCCGTGTCTTCTATTGAAATGGCTGCTGGTGATGGTTTAGGCCTCTGTGGACATATGAGTGGGAGAGTGCTTGTAGCCCTAGGAAGGAAATGGTGGACTTAAAAGGCCTTTGATCTGATTCAGCTCCTATGCTCTACAATACATTAACAAGTAGATGGTTATACAGTCTGTTGGTTTGGAACATGGGTTTTGCTTTCTTTACATATTTACACGTTGAAGGATTGCAGTAATTGATATGTAGTTTCTTTTGTAGAAGAATGTTTTCTGGAAGAGATGCGTGATATAGAAATAACTCACAATACATATTGTAGATACAGAATGATACGTGGTGGATTATCTGTACTGGTCTTCTTGATGTATGGTCTACCACTTGTATACAAGTAGTCCTTGACTTACAACATTTCATTTAGTGACCATTCAAACTTACGGCTTTCACACTTTTCAATTGTGTGAAAAAAATCACAACCATTTTTCACACAATTGTTGCAGCATCCCTGTGGTCACGTAATTAAAATTCAGACGCTTGTCAACTGACTCATATTTAGGATGATTGCAGTGTCCCGGGATTCACGTGATTACCTTTTGTGACCTGATAATTAAGTCATCAGGGAAGCCAGATTCACTTAACAACCATGTTACTAACTTAACAACTGCAGTGATCCACTTAACTATATCAAGAAATGTCATAAAATGAGGCAAAACTCACTTAACAAATGTTTCACTTAGCAACATAAACTTTGGCCTCAATTGTAGTTGTAAATCGAGGACTACCTGTATTTCAAAATCCATGTATTGCAGATGTTTAAACTTCTATACTTGTGACATTATGTCTTAAGCATACTATCTGCCAACCTGTTAACACAACTATCTTTATGCTCTGGCCTGTAGAAAAAAACAATACGGTATGTTGGAATTGTAATTTGAATTAGGACTAATTTCAATTTTGAGATGGAAACCAGTAAGCTAAACATCACTGTAATATAAAGACAAATTTAGAAATTATTGGCAAAATCTAAAATTTCTCTAAACACAAAATTTAACAAGTATTCAACAGAGTAAAAATTTACCAAACAAGGGAAATTTATTGATGCTAAATAAACTGAATACCATTTACTGGTACTGGTACCATTGTACCAGAAAATTTGAGGTGGTTTTTTTTATTTTATCACTCTAGTTTTATTATTTCTAGGAATAGACTGGTTAGCATTCTGGTGTCTTAACCTTTTGGCTTGCCTGGGCCACATTGAGTGAAGAGAAATTGTCTTGGGACACATGTAAAATATATAATGTATATAAATCACATAATATTAAAAGTTTACTATCTTGTGGGGCTGCATTACTAGCTATGGGCTATGGGTTGGAGCTAAAGTTTTGGTTCATACTGCTCTTTGAAAGAAGTTATGAGTTTCACTTTTATCTCAACATTAAACTCTTTATAACAGACACAAAATTGCCTTATTATTTGACTTTTAGAGGAATCATTATTTTTAGAGGAAATTTACAATCTGCTCACAAATATTAGTTTTTAAAAGTATTTTTAATTTGAAATATTTGGGATGTATGAGTTTATAAACAGCATATTTAATTAAAATGA